GAAAACGGCACAAAAAAATCAAGAAACATATAAAAGAAATTACTAATCTTTTGAAATACTTCTCCATCACTGAGCCTGAGGATTGAGGAAACTCTTTCACTCATAATTGATAAACAATACAACTTCACAAATAATTGAATGGACTGTATTAGGAGATTAAAAAAAAAATTGAGGCCAAAAAATTAATAAAAAAATAATAAAAAAAAATTTTCCAAAAAATTGGGGGGGTCCTTCCCCCCCCCCCCCAGGACCCCCCCTCCCCTCCACCCCTGCGGTGTACAACCCTCTTACAAATAGGGGGGCACAAACCCCACAAAAAAAATCGTGAGCCCCCTTTGTGAGGGGACATTTACACCGTGTTGACGCCCCGTGTACAAGTAACAAAACTCTACGAATTAATGAATATGTCAACATTGTTATCGTACAAGGTCAAACTCAGGAACATAAACATTGGTCAGAAATTACCCTAAAAGGATTCTCAGTGTGTTTTTTATTTAAATATGGTGGTCGAAGGAATATTTAGAGTTTTGTTGGTAAGTTTATAAAAGATGTTATGTGTCCAACGTTCCAAAACAATTTTTTTTGTAATTTAGAAAGGAAAAATAAAAAACACAAATATATCAATTTTGACCAATGTTATATAACATAATTTGCTGAGAAAATTCATCCGATAAATAAATTTAGCAACTTGCACGTATGAGAAAGTTGTGGCGGCCATTATCCTTTATTTTTTAATAAATAAAAAATTAATTGTCAATAAAGTGTACAAGCAATGTTCATGTTATTCCACCACTATAGTTTTTATATATGAACAGAATCTGACTAAGAAAAATTGCATCTAAGTCCAAAATTTCCTTTCTTTTTAGGCAATTGTTGGTATGTAATAAGATGCGAAATGCAAGTTAAAACCCTGTTTGTTTCTCATTTTTCATCTATAAAAATGAAAAATATGATCGTTATCCATCATATAAAGTCATCAATTTTGAATATCTATCTCTTGTGTGGGACTCAATAACCAATATATTTTCCATTCTCATTCTACAATAATGAGAATCAAACAGGCCCTTAGATCCAATTACTTTTCCTTGAACTCTAAAATTTGTTCATTAGGAAGCACGACTTAAAGAAGTGACACATTGATTGAAGTAAATGAAGTAGAAATTCTCGAGTTTTGTTAACTTTCTCTAGTTCCCGTGGGACATTGACAAGAAATTGAAATCGATATAAGTTAAGGGACCTTGTTAGGTTTATGGTAAATTCTGCAAAGATTTGATCAATTTGTTATTATGGTAAAGATCAAATGTGCTAGCCATGATGGAATATAAAAACTAGGAATATGCTAATTGTACATAATGTCCTGTCCATAACGGTGTCCACCCCCTCACATGATGGAGAACCGACTTTGGAAATATTGTATTTTATTCGAAGTGAGTCCCCCTCCATGTGAGGGGGTGGACACCGTTATAGATACCCCATTATGTACGTGTAGCATCACTATAAAAACTATATGATCATAGGTGTAGTACTAGAGGATAATTTGTCATTATTTTGTAAGAAAAAATTGTGAGTAAATTTTACAAATTTCCAATTGCATTTGCATAATGGTTCTCAACTTTGCGGTTTTCAGACTACGAAGTATCCAGCTTAATGAGTTATGAATGAATTTTACAAGTTAATGACAAAAAAAAAAGGATAATAAAATTATTCGATGTTTAAATTTAGAGATGTAATGATTTTCTCTCCACATACAAATAAAAAAAGTCGTCATCTGCTTCGAGGAAAAAAAAAAGGGTCGTAATCGTACTATGTGGTAGGAAACAACATTGCCAGGTGTGAATCCTCGTTTATGTATTTATGTCGATTGGCGAAGCTTAAATTATAAA